CCACTTGTTATGACATCACTGTGCTAAAGACTGTTTAGGCAACCTAAGCATAGAAGACACACAGTGGAAATGCTAGGTGATAGGAATCCTCAGCTCCATTATAATACTCCAGGACAGCCATTGTACATGCAGAAACATGGCCACAAAGTACCAATCTGGTACTCAATGGGAAGATGGAGCAGTGAGGATGGTGTAACTGAGAACTTGGAAGGCAGATGGAACAATCTAGAACTCTGCTCTGCCACTTCCTGGCTACATGACCTTCTTCTAAGCTTCCTGCATCTGCAATACTGAGATATGGCAGTGAATAAGTACAATTTTTTTAAAAAGTGCATGGGCCAGCAAGATGGCTTGGTGGTAAAGGCACTTGTCACTCAAGCCTGATAACCTGAGTTCCATTCTGGGAACCCACAGAAAGGTAGAAGAAGATAACTGGCTCTATAGAGGTGTCCTCTTGTCTCCACATACATACCCTGGACCACACACACTTAAAATAATAAATAAAATACTCAAAAAAACCAAGGTGCTGATGATGCCAAAAGACTTTCCAACCTAGGACCAGAGGGCAGGGGTACCACATTAAGGGCTCTGTGGAAGCAAGGTAACCATGAGGCAGAGATGAGGACTCTCTGGAGCCACCTGAATGGAATGTGCAGGAATCGTGGAGAAGGAACAGGCAGGCAGGCTGGGCACAGGTGAGTGAAGGGGTGGGACAAGGGAAAGGCTTGGACCTTCTGCCAGAGGGTGAGCCATAACAGCCATGCTCTGTGGAATGCTAAGTGGGGTGGTGGACCTAGTTCTAGTCATTCCTGCCTTTAGTCAAGTGGCTTTGTCTTTTACTGTCCCCTAGACCTTGGATCAGCTGCCATTATCTCTGCAGTCATTGTCAAAGACAAGGATGAGGACTGAGATAGGGCAAAGGGAGAGGGGTGAGTGTCCAAGTTTCTTTGTAGCAGACACCATGCAGTGTCTTAAGGCTTGTGAGGAGGAGTCAGTGTTCTGAGAGCCACAGGTAACAGCACCCCACACACACACCCAGACCCTTGACTTTGCCTGTCTATCAGGCTAGCAGAAGGCTCCTTTACCAAGTCCCAGCTTAGCGTTCAGGGCTCAGCCCCAGTGATGCTCCCCTCAGACCTCTGAAGGCATGAGTGACGCTTTCGCACTGGACCACTGTATCAGTGGTTTGCTGTTTCTGTGATAAAACACCACGATCAAGGCAGCTCACAGACCTATGGATCCAGAGAGGGGGGTGGTCCATGTCGTGAGGATGGCATGGTATGTCAGCAGAAACAGGAGCAGGAGATGACATCTCAGCTACAGGGAGGAAGCCAGTTGAGCAAACTGAAAATGGGGAATCTGTGAACTCTCAAAGTCCATCTCCAGCGGCATTCTTCATCCAACAATGCTCCACCTCCTAAAACTCCCACAATCTCCCCCAAACAGCCCTACCAACCAGGGACAAGCATATGGAGGACATTTTTTTTTTCATTGAAACCACCACAACCACAGAGGTGACATGGAAATGCTACAGTGTTTAAGAAATGGTTTCGTCCCAGGGTGGGAGGCAGAAAGTCCCCAAACTGTCACTTGTTTCTTTGACACCATGAGGCCTCTTCTTTCCTCCTGTCACACTTACATTCCCAAACTCCTGCTTCTGTCATAGGCATCATTGGAAACCATTAAAGTGTTCTGGAAGCTTGGAAAGCTTCTTATAATCCAGCTGCTACTGGGGCTGATGGGGGCGGGGTAGTTTTGTGGTTGACAGCATAAGTTGTTGCTCTCATATCAGGCTGTTATTCCAACTTGAGTTAGAAATTTTGAAAATATGTCAGTAAGAAGAAGCCCCTCATCACCGCAGCCCCCTGCTGAGGTAACCCCACTTTGCCCTATGCAATTCCAGGCTTCCCTCAAACACGTTCATTACTAGTGGCTTTTAAAGACAGTACTGCCATTGTGCTTTGTAGAGTGATGGTTCCATGCATCCATGGGGCAGATCTGTGTGTGTCATTACCTAGGCTAGCACGCCTTCATTTTTAATGACCGCCTGACCTATGCTGAGAGAGACATGCCCCCGTCAATTTGTCCTGTGGCTTCTCTCTCCAGCCTGTGACTCTGCATCTCCAGCCGCTGCCCAGTATTATAAAGCACCAAGGGTTAGCCTATTAAGCTCTCCATTAAAAACAGAAAAGCTGGGCATCTGCAACCCTCCAGAGTGTAGGCCAGTGTCCCCATTCTTTCCCTGTGCAGCAAATAGCAACCTGCCATTAGTCCATCAGGCCAAGGACTCTTCCTGGTAGATATCTTTCTTTGGAGGCTGTGCTGCTTTAAAAAAAAAAAAAGTAGGAAAAAATGTTTGTAATGTTTTCGAGGCTCGGTGACAAAATGAGACAGAGCCCTTGATTTCTAACCTCCCGCTGCACCGTTCAAAATTCCTCCCAGAGAGCCAGGCAGGAAGCAAAGCGAAGCATTCTGATTGTAAAATTTGCATCCGTTCTTAGCTGGGTACCTTCTTCCCAAAGGATGCTTCACATCACACTGTAGTTGTTTGTAAAGATCTTTCACCCAAGACAGACCACTTCTCATGATACTGCTGATGCGGAGGCAAGAGAAACACAAAGGGAGAATTAAAAATACTGAGAGTCCCTAGGAAGAAATAGAAATGCATTTCAGGGCAGCGTCTGTCAGCCCCCAAACCCTGGATGGATGATCTGGATCAGAGCCCCAGTTAAGTAAATAATAGGAAAATCAGCAGCGATGCAACAGAGAGCTGAACGATGGTCGTTAGCGAGACGCATTTGTTCAACAGGCTTTCAGGGAATACAGATAATGAGCTAGGCACAGCACTACACCCAACAGTCAGACACACTTTCTACACACAAGAAGCCAACAGTTTTAAGACAAGAGACAAAGGCGCCAGCACTCATTGGGAATGCAGTGATCCGGTTTTGTGATGAACGTCCTGCTTGATCACAAAGCAAAGGACGATACAGAGATGCAGCCCTTCAGCCTGGGGGTGCCAAGAAGAGGAAAGGAAGACAGGGGAAGTTGGAGGCCGTGTGGGTGAATCCCTGGAGCAAGTGCACACACAGGCATGGGGGCATGCAACCACAGGATGATCTTAGGGTCTATCATTGGACAGAGAGAACTGAAACCCAGTAGGAGGAGCCTTGGCAAAGAACGATGGTGAGGCTCAAGGGAGCTGGCCCAGGGAAAAGGCAGGGCCCTAAGCAGGTGTGGATCCATTGACTCATTCACACCACAAAGAATTCTTTCTGGGTTGCACAGAGCTTGGTAGTCCAAAAGTAGACAAGTTAGGAGACCCCTGAATATTCTAGAAAAATGGGGGGCTCTCAAACAGCAGACGGGGGGGTGAGAAGAGGGTATTCAAGTGATTGTCATCAGCCAGGCTGAGAGGCTAGACGCAATGGGGGAAGGAAGGAGGAGGATACAGAAACCCCAAAGGGCAGAAACAGGCCCTCCCCTGAGGATCTAAGGTGATGGGAAGGGGCAGACATGGGAAAACAGAAGGAGCAAATGTGGAAACTGATCCCAGCAGGCTCAGGAACAGATGTCACTGTTGGAGTTCTTGAAAGCAGCCCCAGTGGAGCTGGGGTAGACTCCTCAATAGATGGAGAGGGGTGGCGGCCAACAGAGTCCAGTGACCTGTGATCTCCAGTAGCGTGCTGAGGTAGCTAAAGAAGGCGCTGTCCAGGAGGGTGGGGAGTGGGTAATGATGTGTCCCTAAAGGAGACAGGCTAGGATTGGAGGGCTTAAGGACTGCAAGTAGGGAGCTGTGTGATGATCTAGATGGGTCAGCTGAGACCAGAGCCAGTCTCCAAGGAGGGTCCTGCCTCCCCTAGCCGAGTTCGGCAGCCCGGTGGAGAAGAACCAGTGACAGTTAAAAGATGGGGATGGCCATATGCTCCTCAACAGAGGGAAATGGAGACAGGGCAATTACCACGGCATAGCCAGAGGAAGGAAACCAAACAGAAAGGAGAAAGTCAAGGAGCCACGTCTTTAGTGACCACTAGGGCAGAGACGGAGAATAGTGCCAACAGATTGAGTGGGTTGTGATCTTCAGTGGCACTATCCAGAGACTCAGAGCCCCCAGAGACAAACTGGGGGAGGGTCTGTGGCTACTTCCCCCCTCTCAAGATGGCAGACTACCAGAGGGCTAGGCTGCCAGATCTAGTAAGGTCCCACCAGCCATCAGCGAAAGGTGAGGTGTGGGGGAGTGCTCCCAGAGAACAGGAGAGCGGCTGAGGAAGCCGCTGTCCTGTGAGATGATAGGTGTCTGGGGGTGAAAGGCAATCTGGAGTTCAGTTGGTGAGCTGAGAGGCAGCATAATCCGTCCTCCTCGGGGGAAGAAGCAATCTCCCATGGAACTCAGAAACCACAGGAGACTGGAAACTTGCAAAGAGCCAAAGCACACAGTTTGGTGAAGGAAGAAGGGATCAGAACAAACAGCTCCATTTGTAGGCATGGGTGACTCTGCCTGAAGCATCCAACGCAGAAGGCTCTAGTACCTGTCTTAATCAGTGTCCCTGAAGTAAGGATGAAGCCCACCCCTCTTCCCCAGACTGGGGCAGTGCAAGGATTGCCTTGCACTGGAAAGATGGGGCAGCCTGGTCTAAAGGATTCTCCCTAGACATTGACCTTCAGGTTTGACCGAGTTCAGATGAAGTCTGAGTGACCAGCGCCCTGGTCAATTTCATGTGGACATTACCTTCCCAAATAGCATCTAGTAATTACCATTATCATCCTAAAACTAGGTGCTTATGTAATGTCCCTATTCATTTGATGGCCGGTGAGACTGGGACCCTGGGGTTGCCATTATCTTGTTTTGTCTCAGTTCTAGTCTCTTCGCAGTGGGTGGCCTTGGCCCTAGAGCTCGGGAGTTCTGGTTTTGGTTGGAGCTCACCGATGGAGCCCAGTGCGCTGGGGGTGGCGGGTCGCAGCTGACCACGCAAGTGGTGACCGGTTTGGCCTGCCCGCAGGTGCGCACAGGCACTGCTGGAGCATGGTGCGACAGTACAGCTGGAGTGCGGCCCCGGACGGGACACACCGCTGCACGTGGCGGCCCAGCACGGCCTGGATGAGCACGCGCAACTCTACCTGGACAGCGGCGCGCGCGTGGACGCGAGGAACGGCCGCGGCGAGACGGCCTTGAGCCCAGCGTGCGGAACGGCGACGCGGAGCCCCGACGAACACGCGCGCTGCCTGCGCCTGTGCGCGCTCCTGCTACGCGGCGGCGCGGCGGCGGACGCGCGCGATGAGGACGAGCGCAGCCCGCTGCACAAGGCCTGCGGCCGCGCGCGCCCCAGCCTGTGCACGCTCCTGCTGCTGCACGGCGCCGACGCGGGCGCGCTCGACTACGGTGGCGCGTCGCCGCTAGCGCGCGCGCTGCAGACAGCCACGTGCGCGCCCCCGGCAGCGCCACAGCGAACAGTTCAGGCTCTACTCAACCTTGGATCCCCCTTGGTGTGGCCCGACGCCTTCCCCAAGGTAAGGGGACCCTCGGAGAGCTTGGCCATGCAGTCGCTGGACCTGCCAGAGCTTGCATGACTTGTGCTCAAAGTGTCGTGGGAGGGACTGCATTTCTTTCAAACTCCCAGGGGAGGTGGAGGCTGCGAGTCTTGGGACCCCCACTTTGAGGAGCCAGGACTTGGTATTCTCCTCGTGGTTGGCAAAAGAAAAATGAAGAGGCTGCACTGTTGCTAAATATTGCAGAATGTCACCTTTCGAAGTAGTCTCCTGGGGACGCATAGCACTTACTTCTGCAATGCCATCACAACGCCAGCTCCTAGTATTTCAGCAGTCTTTTGGTGTAATTTTCAGAAAAATGAAAATGAGTCTCTTGTCACAGCTGGCGTTTGATCTGCAACGAAGTCACCCAACCTGCTCAGCGCCTTGTTAATGAGAGCACTTTACACCTTGGCAAATTCCTCTACCCTGCTGTGAAATTCACCTGATGTGCCCTGTTCAGGTCACCCCTGTGTTGAGACCTCCACGCCTTGCCCTGGCTGTACCTTTGCAAAGTTTGTTCAGCTCACCTTGTCACTTGAGGGAAAAAGGCAAACAATGCTACCACAATAAAATCCCCAGGCAAATGTGAACGAAGTTCAATGATGTATATGCATGAAAATGCCAAAAAGAAATCAAGAAAAGAAAAAAATTAAAAGGACGTCTAGGGCCTGAGGAGATGGCTTGGTCAGTAAAACACTTGCAGCAAAGCAAGGAGAGCCAAGTTTGGATTCCTAGTATCCATGTAAAAGCCCAGCTTGGGTGGCTCGTGCCTTCAATGCCAGCACTGAGGAGGCAGAGGCAGAACAACCAGCCAGGAGAGCCTAATCATCCACACCATGTGTTAGTCAGAGTTCACAAAAGCAGTGGTTCTCAACCTTCCTCATGCTGAGACCCTTTAATAGAGTTCCACATTCTGTGGTGACCCCCAAACATAAAATTATTTGGTTGCTACTTCATAACTGCAGTTTTGCTACTGTTATGAATCATAATGTAAATAAATATGTGATACAAAGTGTAAATATGTGACCCTTCTGAAAGGGTTGTTCCACCCCAAGGGTCACACCCCACATGTTAAGAAATGCTTCTCTAAAGGAACAGAACCGATAAAGTTATAGAGATATAGAATATAGGCATATAGAGAGAGAGAGGATTTATTAGAGTGGCTGAGAGCCTGAGCACCAACCATGCCAGTCTCCAGACAGAGAGACTGAGAACCTAATAGCTGCTCAGTCCACAAGACTGTATATCTCAGCAGTTTCCATCTGGTGCTGGAGTCCTGCAGGGTTCCTGGAGAGCTGTGAGTCTTCGAGTCTATGCTGGAATCCTGAAGAGGCTGGATTTAATACCAGCCTCTGTAGCAGGATGGATGAACTTGTCAGCGCGCACACACACACACACACACGCACACACACACACACGCACACACGCACGCACGCGCACACACACGCACACACACACACGCACACGCGCACACGCACACGCACACGCACACGCACACACACACACACACACACGCACACACACACACACACACACACACACACAAGATCTTCAGTATCCCTTTATCTGTTCTGGTGTGGTCCAGATTTAGGGTGGATCTTCCTGCTTCAAACAATCTGATTAAGAAAATTCCTCACTGCAGTGCCCAGAAGCTTGGGTTTTAGTTGATTCCAGGTATAGTCAAGTTGACAACCAAGATTAGCCATCACATCCACACCCTCGTTCCTGTAAAAGACCCCACCTCAAAAGATGGACAGCTCCTGAGCAAATGATACCCAAGGCTGACCTCCAGCTTCCCCATACACACACACCTGAACCTACACAAGTAAATAAATAATTAAGTTCTGAGGACCAGCTAGCCTGGTGTACGCATCAAAGTGGCAAACAAAAGGGTCCTGCCTCAAGCAAGTTGAAAGATGAGGAGAGTCTCTTGAACAGGTCATCTGACCTCCACACACACACACATGATATTCACACATGTGCATACACACAAACACATGAACACACACAGACACACATTAAAGGAAGTCAAATTAGTCATAAGATGTTGATTCATTTCATTTTAAAACTCACCCCCCTCTCCCAAGATACCTCAATTATATCCACCTACCTATGCACCTGTGAACATATATGTGTGTCTGGTACACTTGGAACCAGTATCTGGGAAGCTGTTACCCAAAGATGACCAGTGTTCTGAGACAGTGAAATTCGCACATTTCTCTGAAATGACTTTGCACACAAGCACATTCAGAGTGAAGGATGCATCTGTAGGGCCAGGAAAAGGGTGGAAACTAATGCTTTCCTCACCTAGTGTCCCCCTATCAGACAAGCATATGAACCCTTGACACTGTCACCCAAGTCATTCCCCCGGGGGTGCTCTGCCAATACACAGAATTCAACATGGCAGGCTCTACAAAGGAAGTGCTAGCATTCTTGTATTCTGGAGCATTTCTACATTGATAGCTCACACCCTAAACACTCCCCATTCCCACCAGGATCTGCTCAACTACCTGGGAAATCGACACAAAACTGTCATTCAGCTCACATCCTGTCTACATTAAGCCCAGATGCTCAGTTGTCATCATAGAGAACCACACAAAGAATTAAACAAGTGGATCTCACATGGTGGGCTGCAGACAGAAAATGGCTGACAGTGGTTTCCATTAAAGGGGTGGGGGGGGTGAGGTGGAGAAAAGTACTTGATGCCAAACCTGATGACTTGAGTTCGGTCCCCGGGACGCACACTGTAAGACACAACTGACTCTTGCAAGTTGTCCTCTGATCTCCACATACGTGCCATGATAAGTCATTTCAATTTGAGCCCCCCCATTCAGATGCTGGAGTTTGAGCTGCAGCCCCCCAGCCTGACCCCTGGGGATGGGCTTCTAGGGTAGCAAGCACCCTACCTTGACCTACAGGGGCAGCACATAGCACCATGCTCCCTCCATGTCTTCAGAGCCTCTGTTCTGGGACATGACGCCATGCCAGCCATATGTGGTATAGTCATATGTTCATCTCTCAGGACTGGGGGTGAGCATGCATGTTTTGGGCAGTAAGCTACAGTAGTGTCATGGGAAGCACTTGACCCTGGCAGGCAGGAGAATTCTCTCTGGTCAATTATACACCATTGTAGAAGGAACTGAACAGTTCTTGAGAAATCTTTATAGGAAAAAAAAAAATCATTGCCTGCCCTGCATTTGGCAAGTGCAGGTACATACAGACCTTCAGTCCAGGTTTGTTGCATGAATGCAAGGGACTCCGGTGACTGGCTCCAGGACACGTGTCTGCATCCAACCTCTGGATATGAGGTGCTGACCTCTTGGCACAGATACCCTTGCGCGTCTAGAAGTCTAGACCCCACTTTCCTGATGAGCCTGCAGATGAGATGCACTTACCCACACCAATCCATGCTAGATGTGCCCTGTAATGGGCCAGCCTTGCCCAGGAATAAGCAGACAAAAACCTGGAGATGGAGAGGCAACATCCTCTCCTACTCAGGCTCCCTGTGGGTTTCACATGGGAAGGCAGCTACCCACCTAACTGGCCCCAGCACCCCCATGGGGATGCACAACAAGTATATACAAACTGGTCACCAAGATGCTCCACCGGGCAAGACACAGACACCATGGCAGGCAACAGACAAGCCACCTGGAATGCTACAGAGCAGGCAGCCCCTGCCCCCCCCACCCCCCACTGTGCTGCTCTGAAAACCAAGGGGCGACAGGCTGTGGAGCCACTGTGTCCATGATGCCAGGGCCCTCTGCCCTGCTGCCCCCGGGTTGACACCAGAGGCAGAGGGGCAGGCCCAGAGCAGATGCAGGCAGAAGCTGGCGGCCAGAGTTCAGTCCTAGAAGGGGTAAAGACAGAGTAGGGCCAGCAGCTCTGGGGCAAGGGACTGACTCCCTGTAGAGCAGGGAGCCCCAAGAATGTGGACCCAGCTGTGGTCTGGGATAGAGGTTTTTCCCAAATTTCTCCCCAAATTCATGACTCTGGGATGAAGCCCATTTTGCTTTGTCCACATCTTTCAAGAGAGTGTTGGGGCCACAAAGAGACTAGGAGGGCCCTAGGCCCAAGCCAACTCTAGGGAGGACATGACCTGCTCTTCAGAACCACATCCTTTAATTCAAACTCCTCTCCTCTCTCCCTGTTTCTTTGTGTTCACCTGGGAACCACTAGAAGTGGCGCGGGGCCAGGTGGTAAGCTGTATTTGTCCCCTGACATCACTAACCCCCTCCAGAGCCCTTGGCATTCCGCCCCTTCCTGTTGTGCTCTCTCTATGAACCAGCCCTGTTTCGATGGAGCCAAGATGTGCTACCTGAGGAGGGGGCCAGCCACCTGCAAGGGCTAGGAGGAATTAAGCAGCAGGCCCACCAGTGACTCCCAGAAGTGTAAGGACTGGGCCAGCCATGATTCCCCTAACTGTTTCATTGGCTGTGTTGTCTGCCCACCTTGTCCATCGTGTGCTCACCGTGTATTCTTTTAACAACCACACTTAGGGACTGGAGAGATAGCTTGAAGGTTAAAGGCACATACTGCCCTTGCAGAGGACCCGAGTTCAGTTGCCAGCATCCACATCAGGCAGCTCACAACCTCTTGTAACTCCAGGTCTTGGGGGTGGGGGTCTGATGCCTCTAATACACACACACACACACACACACACACACACACACACACACTTACTTAATAAGCTGGGTGGTGGCACATTCCTTTAATCCCAGCACTCAGGAGGCAGAAGCAGGCAGCTCTCTTTGACTTTGAGGCCAGCCTGGTCTCCATAGCTAGCACCAGGACAGGCTCCAAAACTACACAGAGAAACCCTATCTCAAACAATAATAATAAATTTTAAGATATAGTAGTCCTGGCTGACGCTCCATTGAGGACAGGCACACACAGACTTTTGAGCTTTTTTTGAGCAGCCTGACTTGGGGGTAAGACAGTCATACTCACTGAGACCTGTCATAGACCTACCTGACTTTGCA